AACATTTAAAATTTACAGGGAAACAACAGTTTAGAAATGTTAATTATCTGACAAATTACAATATTCAATTTACTAATCGGTTTAATCTAGATCCATCAGTAGACCATGTAAGTGAAATACGGACAAACGTGGATCATTGCATATTTAAGTAAGGAATAACCTTTCTTTAAACCAAATTGTCTCACTAATACATTTTGCTGTAATTGACATAGAAATTTTACTATTAAAACAATGAGTTTATCTTCATCAGTGATTAGTTTTGAAAAATATTTCCTGTCTTTGGTGGAAAGAAGCGCATTTGGAGTCTTGAGGATTATTGTTTTTAAATAAAAAATCAGACTAATCCAACACTATGTAGATTTTATTGGATAGTTTACTCGATAGTTTACTGATTTACACATTTCAAAGTTTGTCTATTATGGTATCCACTCTACTTTCTTTTACGAAAAATCCAAACGATTTTGAAAAAAAATTATGTGCTTCTTTTTCCTTATTCAACACGTGTGAGGTATCAAAGATTTTCGGGGATTTTTATGTTTATTTGGTGAGTACCCGGTATCAGGGCATTATTTCACTGAGGATTTCATGTTCTAATTTTCCATTAACTTATTGTTTTTCAACCATGTGGGATGCTTTACAGTGGAATGTTCGTAGAAGACACGTGGATAGCTTCAGATGGGTTAATTGAAATCCCAAGTAAAAATAATTATTTTAATTGAGATAATTGTTCAACCTTACACATTTCTAACTTTATTCATTTCATGATACAACATGACATTCATCTAATGTCAGTGTTGATAACTGCTTCAATTCAGATCTATCTCGACTTCACTGGCTAATAGAACTTTAAAAATTCAAACCGTAATTAATTGAACGATATCCCAACTGAAATTGATTTGTAACGAACACTTTCAGTTTATTTAGATGATTTTCACAAAACCATTTTATCAAAACTATCATAGTCACCCCACTAATGAATTACTACGTGATGAGTTCTTGAAGTTCTAGTGGGAAATCGTGACCCATGGAGTTTAAATACATTTCTGAAGTGAAAGATTTTCGGCGATGAAATCAGATAAGCATTAAAATATATAACGAATTCCTTATTCGATTATAACTTTAAACAGGAATTAAAAACCTAGGGACTTCTAAAAATTGAATTATCAGAGAGTATTTAAGAGTGTTTAAACACGATTGATTGATCACTGGGTGGTGATCAATCTCATGCGTGTCAGGTTCTTAGTGCTGATCGAATGCTATCGATCAAGTTGCAATGTGGCCACCAGTCTAGGTGGCTCGACACTGCGGGCACTATATATATTAGGGTAACATGGTGGTTGGAGGTGGTCAACAGGAAACCCTGGACCCGGGTTTCGTGCTACTTGGCACTCGTCAGCAAGGTGTACCTGTAATCTTGAGGGAACTGATGCTCCCTGGCGGATTCGATCCCGCGTCACTCAGCTTCACAGTCAGAGACGTTACCATTGAGCTATTCGGGCCGCGACCGACCTCCTGTAGGACTGAGATCTAATCACGATTGATTGATCACTGGGTGGTGATCAATCTCATGCAAGAGTGTTTAAAGTTTCACACTTTATATTTGTAATAAAATAGGGAAATCCCCTTTGAATGATCGATTGGACAATGCAGAGTACATATTTCACACAATGTTTATCCTAGCAAGTGGTAATCAGGACTAACAGTTTTAGTAAAATAAGGTTATTTTAAAGCGACAAGTTAGAATCAATTTTTCAATCTACATGGGGTAGGCTTGATGAGAAAATCTATTAGAACGCATAAATTGATTGCTGAACAGTCTGTTAAATCGCTCACGTTTTGAGCTTTACTACCAGATCATTAATTTCATTATTAATGCTTTTAGAGCACTTTTGCATCAAAATAACGAAACGAAAATTTCGGAGAATTGCTTCTAGATGATGAATTAAAAAAATGCAGTAACTAAATATGATTTATTGACCTATTCAACAAAGTTATGTTAAGACTTAATCTGACCATTGAGCTGTTAGTCACTGAAAGTCAAACTGCTTTCAAATTGACTGGTACAATTATTTTAACGCTATTATATGTGTTATCAGATTTTCCTTTTTCTGGCCACAGGACAATTCTTTTACTTTGGAGTCATGCAATTCTGTGCAAAATAGATAGAAAAGACAATATATGAGAATCTTTATTCTCAGACAAATAATCGAGCCTTAAAAAAATAGGCCTTAAAGATTTCCTAAGAAGCATTTGTTTTATTTGTTTTATCGCTTCTCAACCACCTCTTTATATTAAAATGGGAGTTTGTGGAGATTGTAGTAATTTAATAGTTGAATTTATGAGTCGATTAAAGCTAGACCACCATGGAAAACCTGGAAACACTGGACGGTGGATTGATTTAAGTTAGACATTAACACCATTGCATGCCAGCTCAGTTGTCTATAGGTTAAGCTTTCGCGCACAAGACCGAAGGTCCTTGTTTCGAGTCTAGCGTTCAGGAACATGGATGCGCACTGCTGAGGAGTCCCATATTAGGACGAAACATCCATTCGGTGCTTCCGGGTTTTCAATGGTGGTCTAGTTTTAATTGACTCATGAATTCAACTATTAAACTCCTTATATGTCTTTGATATTCATTCACTTAATGAATGAGTTCTCCGGATCGTCTCAAGAAGAAATTATAGGAATAGTAGTACGTAAATCGAGCACAAACTCAAGCCGTTGGTAGCATCATATTTTTAATTATTATCTTGTAAGGTAAATTATCTTTTAATGATAATTCTGCAAATATAACAGATTTCTGAATAATCTGACGATGATAGAATGAAGGTTCCTGAATTGTTTTCTTCACTCAAATTGAAAGCTCATCGTTATCAGCAAAACAGGAACTATCAACATGTGAATCTACTTGTCCTTATTATTTAACAAGTATATGTTCCTTCTTTAATATCAACATCGTATGGTTACTTTCCATCTGGAGTTTATACTTCAGATTTATGTCTTGTTTGGGAACCGATGATACTGATCAAACTCTTGATCACCCTAGAAGAGACATTACTTTTATTGTTGCTCTGTAAACTTTGTATGAGAAAAACGTATATGAACTTATTATTTCATTATGACCTCTCTAATTTTCTGACACGTGTTCTCCAGATATATTTGGATTTTTTAAATCTTTTACGCAATGGAGTTTTTAATCACCTGTGTTTTATTCCCAAATGTCAGCATATCCATGATAGATTAAACTGGTCAGCCTATTTTTCTCGTTATCTAGTGTCTGTGTAAATGTTTACTAGCATATCTGATCTGCTATTCTAAGTAATGCCCACTAATTGATCGGTTCTTATCATCTGCTTCAGCTTATTGTAACAGTTTCATTGTATGATCAGCTTATTCTTTGGATTGTGACTGTATTAGTCAACAGCAATTCATTTTATTAAACGATTGGTAACCCGTATAATTTGTCCCAATGTATGGACAATCCATTCCAATCCTTATAACTTGTAAGAAATCTTCTGTTCGCTTTCTCAATACCATTTATTTTACTTTTTATGCAACTTACTTACATCATTAACAGTTAATGTTGTACCATCAAGCTTTATTAATTCACATTATGAATTATCAATAATATATCTCAGCATCTAATTGTGTCAGACTTTGTTCTTATTTCTCCTAAGAAAACTGATATCGCACACAAGGTCAAGTTACGAATCATGTGAAAGCGCAGGCAAGTAGTTTTTTAATACGTATGGGTATGTATTATTAAATAATACTTAAGTAAATTTAGGTTGCTTTGCTACTAAGCGTGTAGACGGTTAAATACGATTATGTCCTTCTATGATACTGAATTTGATATAAAGCAATGATATCAGAACCACAAAACTATTCCTGAAAACATTTGTTTATTCAGGTAATAGCAATTTACATCTTTCATATTCTCCTTTCCAACCACGTCACAGAACACATCAGTTTATATAAAGGGTAAAATACTTTATAAAGGTTTAATAGAGTATAATGTTGCAGACGTAAATTTATGACATACATTCACCAATTGCGACATAAAACTTGAAATCATATAAGCAATGACCGGACAGAAGGCGTCTAAAGTGCAGTCTATATGGGGAAACATGGTGTGCCTAAACAGTTGTTAACGTAGTGTAACTATAAAGCTGAAATAAAACGTCCACATTTTTGTATGATCCATGTGACATTACACTAGACAGATATCATTTTTTTCAGCCTAAAATTTACGGAATGTGTGCATATTAGAAAGGTCATTCATTAACTTCACTGAACTCATTTTAACTTCATACATCATTTTAAATGATCATTCTGTCATCCATGTTGATGAAGATAGCAAAGTTTACTACTATACTCTTACATTCAAGCTAAATCGTAGTTAAATAGTACTCAGCAGAATTTTTTATCCTGCAAAAAAAATCATCAGACATAATCATAAGCTTCGAAATTGTCATCATTATTGTCAGAATCTTTTGAGATGGTTCACAGTCAGTCAGTACGAACCCAAGCATTATCAACTAAGAAATTCAAACCACTAAGATATTTAACGAAAAACTTGACTTCAATATTGAAGAGATGCATATTAAGCAATCAAAGCTATAAACACTAAGGCGATAACTAATCGATATTATGCTTTGTTTCAACGGGCTTTCATAGACATTGCATGTCTCCTTTTAAGTTTCATGTTTCAACTATTAACGAACGTCTATATTATAGATTGGTGCTAGTAAGTTAAAGAAATTGATTTACTCCAACCACTTCCAGTTAGCTAGAATCTTATATACGCTTGTCAATTCATATAATGAATGCAGTTTTTAGGTGCCGAAAACACGTCTGCATAAAAATTATAGCTCAGATTAGCTTGCGCCATCACGTGTCTTTTTTTAATTGGTTATTTTGAACTGTATATTCATAGTTGGGCTTTCAAACAACCAATCAAATTATAGACAAGTTGAATGAACAAATCACAAGCGTTATGACCTCCTTGAGGTTATTGAAAAACAATCGGAATTCACTAAGACATGTACTGAAACAAGGATAAATATAAATGGTAGTTAAAAAAAGCTATGCGTCTGCTTTTTTTTTCTCAAGTCTAGGAAAAACGCAAAAATAGATAAATAGTCGTAAAACAAATAAAGAGAATTATGGCTATAATAAATTCACTATACTTATATTGTACTGGGTGGAAAGCAACACAACAAACATATCAGTATTGTAGAAATCCTTTACATCATCATAAAAAGCTTTTTAATCCACGACAACGTGGGTCGAATTCAGTTCGACTACTGTCAGGACCTAATGCTAAAAGTAATAATAGAAGTATTTATGGTTGTAATATGCGCAACAACAGTCATACTGATAATACTGGTAATTCGAAAAAGTCGAAAACAGTAAATTCAAGTTATTCAACAAGTATCATGAACTGTGAACAAGATTCATTTCGAGACATTAAATTATGTTCCAATTATTCTGAAAATACAAAGTTTGGATTAATGAAAATTATACGTACCTGTAACCTGATGAGTTTTCTATTAAATGAGAAACAAATGTGCTCAAAGCATTTTGAATTGATTAAATTATTTATTGAACAGTTACAAACAATAATAGAACATTTAGAAAAGGATATTGATAATACATTAAAAAACTTGGTAAATTTTAGTATAGATATATTTTCGGAGAAAATTGTCACTAAGGGATCAAAGTATTTGAAGACAATAATTAATTGTTCCGAATGTAATAAGAAATCTTTCATCGATTCGCCACTGATGAAACACTTCAATAATGAATCATTCAACACTGAACACTGCGATCATTACTATAATTCAACAAAACTGGGGCAATCTAAATCACAGAACGACACATTGGATGACAATAAAATTAAAAGTCCTTCTAATTGTAAAACAAACAGATTTTGGAGCCATCTTTTGTCGCATACAAAGATAAATTGTCATCAAATGGCAGATGTAACATATTCAGATACTTCCTTTCAGTTTTATCCAACTAAGTGTGTACTTGAATCCATATCATCATTGTCATCTGACTCATGTTCATTACCTCTATTCTGTTCCACCAACTACTTGTCTTCCTCTTCATCCTCCTCATCCTCATCGTCATTATTGTCACCTTTATCTTCACCACACACATATTCGACTTGTACATCAGTTTCCAACAATTCAGTTCAATCACCAGAAGAAGAAACTGTGGAAAAATTAAATTTTAAACAAATCGCGATTTATCATTGTCAAACTTTAAACGATTTAAATAGAAATGTAGGACTTGAAAATAAACAGATTAATGATAAGCTATTTATGTATCATCCAATTAATGTCAATGACGAGGAATACAAGAAACAGAATAGTTCATTGAAAAAATCCGTAAGTTTTATGACAGTGTTCAATTTGTTTTTGTTAAAAACAATGGAACTATTTAATTACAATTAATCGCAAAGACTTAACCTAAAAATGAATGTAACTAATTACCAGCCATTTAGTTGCAGGTTTCAATTTAAATTTGTATTGACTATTCTGGGCTATATCGTGATAAATGTATCTGAGATAATACTTTTATAGTATACAACAAATAGTTCCTTCACGAAACTTGTATGTGTTGAATAACCCTCTTCCTTCTGGTTGGTTTCCAATAGTCTTAAGAAATATTATCCACAAGTTACATTGATTTATTGTTCCCTGAATGTTATCGTACCTATAAAGAATCTTAAAGGTTTCGGGTTCAAACCCATGTGTGGTTATTATTGAGTACAAATAAGAATTCTCCAAATTGGATAAAGCAGCTGACCAATAATTCCTAGTTCTCAACGATCAACTGTGATGAAACTCATATTCAAAGTACGTAAGATGTGTAGTGAATTTTACGTGTTCAGGGTGACAATTTGAAACTGTTCTATGTTCCGTAACCCTTATTTGCCTTAATTTGACTTTTAACTGTTCGATACTCATAAATACTTCATAACTCTGTAAACAACTATGGAATAATTTCAGCTGGTCAATTGTCCGTAAGTTGATATCAGTTCGTACTGAGAGCCACGTTAAAACTGGCAAAAATCCTTCCTCTTTTATATATGTTAGTGTTGATCAGAGTTAAATGAATAAGGTTTAAATCTATTAATATGATAGCTAGCTTTATTTCTTTGCACATTGGATTGCTTCCAATTGATTTGTATTTAGGTTTATTTTTCGAATGAATTGAATGATAAGTTGTATCATATTTCAGTTTGTTCGAGTATTCGTTCTTCAAACATTCCACTACTATCCTTCGATCAGCAAAAGGTGCTCCCTTAATACACATCTACACATAATGATGATATTTATTTTTTGACTGGTATGAACTAAGAGACGTATTTTGTTACCTTATATTTTCAAAAGTATAAATCTTTATATCCTATTCAATAGACTGTTATTGGTATTGGAGATGTTTTGATTATAGTCTTTTGTTTATGGTTATGTAGTGATGTAATTTGACCATTGTTTTTAAAGTAAGAGACACTAGTATTCGTCGTATTATTGATGCCTAACCCTTCCCCATAAAAAATATTAGCTTTACAAAAATGGTATCAATAGAACATTTTATATCTTTTAATAATCTGCTTAAAAGTAACTGGATTGGTTTATGTACATTTGCTTAAAAAAGTTTCTCAAGTGATGAAAAAAGAGACTAACAAATTGTTTAGCTAGACAGAAAACTTCACTTCTATTATAACTATTGATTATAGTAGAGTGATGTGATAATGGTAATAACACCAACTAAAGACTGTTGTACAATAGGTTTTAGTTCTGTAGACCATAGAATTTTACACCCGTAACTCTATATTGAGTTCAACCTAGCATGTCTAGGTCTTTTCTGAAGAGAACAACACTTTCAAGTGATTGATTTGGAACCCAATGATTTACAGACCTTCTGTTTTCGGCAAGTTATAGTCTCATTTTTGACTTCTTTGATTTTACAGATTAAGGTGCTTTCATTAACAGTTCAGACTATTAATTGTGAAGTTGGTTAAATGTTATCATGCACATCGGGAAACGTGAATACTGTAAGTCTGGTTTTTTATAAGGTCTGTTGTCTAACCAACTAAGGAGTTTTGAGATAGAAAAAAGTAATTATTCAGTGATCCATACTTACCATTGATTTTTCCGATCTTAATCTGAAGTCTGAAAATCATCTCCGAAATCATATAAATAGCGTTCACAATCACAATAGTTATCTATAATTTCCTTTCAATCTTAGACACTAATTATCTTCAGTATGACAATTCGTAATGATAGAAGATGGAACCGATTGTGAAGATATTTGTTATTTCTGTTGGCAATTCATTACGTTTTGCTAACGCATTTTTGCGTAGTTTTACATAATCGTCTATTGTAAATTCTTGAAAATTTACAAGCAGTTCAAAAACAATATTAACTTTAGTTCAAGATTTTCTCTACTGTTATGGTTCCTTGTCTGTTTATCCATCTACCTGACTATGATATTCTTGCTATTCGTGTCACTCAATGTGAAACTGATTTTCATCACTTGTGCATATCAATCAAACAACTGTTAAAAGTGTCTTTACAGGTAAAAGGTTTAATAACATTGATTAGGACATGTTCGAAACCAAGGAAGTGACCTAAACTATGTCGCGAAATGTCAAAAATTCAGTTTTCCATTCATTTGGATATTACATATGTACTATCATTATATCGTTGGAAAAAACCACCCAATATTCAGTCTATTTGAAATTATCAAGTCAAGCCATAGTGATCACGTTTACTTATTTAGAACTATTGTGAATTCTCACTAATTCTCTGCTGTCTGGTGAAAGTGTAAGTGTATAACATACTAAACTATAGGATTTGAGATAGGATTGTAAATGAAAGAGAAAAACATCTAAGTTAGGATTCTGGAAACTATCATCAGAGGCTATTGTGCATAAAGTTATAAGCTAAAATGAAATATCGCATAACTTCTTAGTATTTGATGGCATATGTTTGAGGTGATTGGTTTTGTCCAAAGAATATACCCTAACTATTCATTGACTGCGTTAATCTATCATGTATACACATAACTACTTACAAACTCTTGTTGTTTCTTCATTATTATTAATGTTAAAATTATCATTTTCCGCTTCTGGTTCGCATAAATTCCTTGACAGAATATTGACGCTGAATAATTAAGTTTTGTATATCATATTGTACTGATTGTTCAACATATTTAAAACCATAAATTAATAATTTTATTCATTGTTGGCTGACCATGAAAGGTTTCGCTTTTGTTTACGTACAATTTTGATTCTTCAGAACTATCCTGGACTCTTGTGGTACATTCAATGAATTTCCAAGTTGGAAGTGCCAACCTTTTGATTTATTATTTTTTATTACGTTTATATTTGTAGGATTACATATTAGTCAACCCCAGCCTTTGAGAAGTTTTTCTGCAATTTAGGTCAGTAGATACAGTTAAATTCTAATTTCGCTTATAACCTGATATTCATAACTCCATCCATCTATCTATCTAACATTTTTCACGTAGTTGGTTTTTAGTCTTTTCCAAGGTTTGTTTATTATTTAATACTATAACCACTATAATTTATTGTTCGATACATCATACGCTTCTTCTATTCTTGAATGTTTTTTTAAATAAAAAAAAAGTAATAATGGTTGAGGCTAGACAGGTTAACAAAAACCGAATAATCGTTGTTATTTTAATCTTCATAACTAAGTATATGTCGTTCTGGTTGTAAAAAGTTCAACGATAACAGGGTGAGCAAAATTTTAGCTGTTCATAAATCGATTAATCTATAAGTATCAGAAAGGAGATCAGAGTTGAAATGCAAGAGACTTTACATATAACATAACCATGAATTATACTTAATTTTATCATTACCTAATCTGATAGTAATGATGGAGATCGATTACTAATTACACCAGTGTATTTACTCGCTTAAAATGTGATTTGTTAATTTTTCACAGTCAGGTTTGTATGGCTGAACACTTTTCAAAAAAATAGTTCTTATTTGCATAATTATGACTATTATTAACTTTTTAATTAGGAGTTTTCGATGTTATTCGAAAAAACATGTACGAAAATGTTTCTTGGTCTATACTACTTGTTTACACCATGTGTTTACTTAGATATTTTGTAGATGGATTTTCATAGTTTGTGATATGAATTAGCTTATGAAAACTAACTAAATATTCAAATCTTTTCACAAACACCTCAGTGAATAAAGTTACTGAGTTCACTAATCACTTGATCTAAGCTTGATAGTGATCACTGAAATTGACTAAGCCCAAATCGATAAAATAACTCATAGATGACAATATTTGATCATCATACTACCAGAAACTGACTTAAGTAAAGCAAAATCTTGGGGCTTTAAACGCCAATTGAGTGGCCTTAAATTATCTTACCGAAAATCCTAAAACTCATCTATTCAATGTCATTTTGGGATCATGTGATGTGTTACTGTCATCGTTTACAATAGCAATCCAGCTATGGTTTGTGTTAAGAGCATATATGTATATAAACTTTTTATTATGCTCTATATAGTTCAGTTAGGGCTTCTAATAATTTCAAAACTAATCGTATAATTGATCAGTTAGCAGCGAAATCAGTTACTATTCTTTAAAGACTGTTTATAACTTTGAACAAAAGTATCCATTAATAATGATGCTGTTACATTCATAACAGTGGCAACATTCATGCCCCTTTACATAGATATATACTAACAATCATCATAATTAGCACAATGATCGATTAAAACTCATTCCATCTTGGTTCACAAATCTATAAAAACATATCATGTAGTGAGAATTTCGTCTAATGCTGATTTTTACTGTCAAATCATCATGTCATCTCAGGGATACCAATGTTTTGAAATCAATTTTTCTGGGCGGATAATTTATTTGCTTATCTCTTTAAATAAAACATTATGATCATCGTCAATTATGACTGTTAACAAGTGAAAAACTGTCCTGAAAGTGTTTTGACTCTAATGAAATTGGTGAAAATTATTGTGAATAAGGTTGTCTTTTTTCTAACACCAATACTTTTAGTATCATTGTATACGATTGTGAAACAAAGTAACATTTCTAACTTTAAACAGTCATGGGAAACACGATTTCAACTAACAATATTGAAATATTTTGAAACAATAGAACGTTTTAAAGATTCCTTCTTTGTTTGATGATTTTCAATGAAAGATATTCTCCAAGACGTATTAATAAAATGATTTCAAGTTCACGTGCACTTTGATGTGAGAATTTTTATATTATCTCTAGGTACAAAAGGTTCCAGGAAATCATATCTTAAAGTGTTAGCGAACAGGTGGCATAGTTCTTTTTTAATTTGAGTATATTCGTTTTATTCGGTTAGGTATAACTACACATAAAATCAAAACAATAATAATTTATCTGATTGTTCTCTGATAGACTGAGGAAAAAACTGAATATGCTCGTCAAATTCCATTTTTTTGTTGATTCACATACTATCGATTTTGGTATCGGCAGTGTATTAGTTGAATCCCAAGAGATATCTAAATAAGAATGCGTAGATGATGATTTTATGAATTAGTTATTTGTTTTAAGTTTATCAGATCTATTTATGAGTTATACTCATTTGTAAAATTAATGATTAAAAATTCGTGTTGAACTTCAACTGAGATCATTTTGTTACAGAAATTTATGACGTTCACAGTGAAACAGTTATAATCAACGACAACAACGCCGTTGCTAACTCTTTGCCCAACCCTCCCCCTTTATGCGGGCTTGGGACCAGCAGTAACCCTAGAAGGACTAAAGATGGAGTTATGTTACTATTGTATTGGTTATTTGAAAAAACATTTCAGCCAGTCATTGGTAATATATATGAGGATAATTATTATCTATTCTCATAGGAGAGAATAAAAAGAGATGAATGAATAAAAAAGGAAACTTCCCAGTTTTGCTAAATTTTTCAACTGGCCTAACATTGTTGAATCGTACAACATGAGAGTGAAAAGAAAAGAATGAGATAGAAAGTTGGTTATTTAAGCTGAAAGATTCAGCGACAAACAGGCAAACACACACAGACAGAACGAAAGACAAAGAAGCGAAAGCTTATTATCTCGCTGTTTTTCAGTTTTTCTAAAACAGAACACAGTCTGCTTTTTTCCACGTCGTATTTATTTGTTGCTTGTTTTGGTTTTTCATAACAAGTCACTTTTTTCTGAAAATCTTGTAGTGATCATAGTTGACGCATTATGTCTAGACATAACCAGCTGTCGTTTTCTGTCTCTAAATAAGAATAAAATAATTGAGCATAGTAACATACAGACAGTGTCACTCTTTCTCACTTAATAGTCTATGCATTTCAATCAATCATTCAGTCATTCACTAATCCAACTATTATATATATATTATATATGCTCATAAGTTATTTATTATTAATATCATACGTATATTATTATTAAAGAGGGTATGAGTTTCCTTATCGTAGGTATACTTAACTAATTTTTGTTCATTCTTGTTGAAATATGCATATCTTGAGTGAATATAGCCTTCTTATTACAGGCTTTATAGAATAGTAAGGTTGTAGCTAAAAGCGGGATCCAAGACCCACGTTCCATTTTATTCGGGGCTGATCAATCGGTTATCATTCCATCCCGGTAGCATTCGTTTCAAAAGAGAAAGCTTTATCCACTGAGCTATTGAGTACAGATTTGCTCTAACTTCATCCCTTATTTCTCAGTTACTCTTAGCGTTAGAATTTCCATAATCAATGATTTCCCAATAATTCTGTTGGTACTAATTACGCACATAAATACAAGTGAAATTCATAGGTAAATAGATTTAGTCGGAGTTTACCCACAACATTGTTGTCTTCATCAGTTATGTTGTACAATGCTCCTTTGCTTATTTTTCCCGTTTGTTTGGTGGACAAATGCTGACCCACTGAAGACTTTACTTCAGACCTAATTTTTTTTCTAAATTTGTGTTTCCA